TGCGGGTCATTCGAGATAACTTTACTCCATGTAATTTTAGATTTAACTCGTCCCCGTTTCAGCACAGTCTATCATCATAGTGTAGCACCTAGGGATGGTGCATTTCAGAGGTCCACGAGAACATAGTTAGACCATCTCAAGCAACCTTCTCTTGTTTTATCCTCTATGTGTGCAACATGTACCTTTTGTTGAATGAAATTATTTATAATCTTATCTAATCTTGAATGACAGTCCAAATAAAATAGATCTGATGCTTCGTTGTATGTCTCTAAGCAGCAAGTTGGATCCAAGATATTTGGCCCAATTATCAATATTCCGATTAAAGATGAGAATTTTATATTGTATCCACCACAAACCCATTAATGCAAGACCAAATATAGAGCTGCAGACTCTGACGAGGAAACACATATTTAACTTAATCAATGAGAAGGACCATCTCTGCTGGTGGAAAGGGTCATCAGAAATGGTAATGGAGATTGCTCGAATTGGCAGCTCTTTTTCTTTTCTATTTTTTTTGGGGGGATTATGGAGAGAAGTGATTGTTAAGCTTAAAATTTGTGAAAATGATGGAAAGGGCAACTGGAAATTTTGAGGAATATAGGTGAAATTTTTCAAAAAAGAAAAAGCATATTTTGAGCTTTTCACGCGCTCAAATGTAAGTGTAAGACACACAATTTTCCATGTAAGCGTGAGGTGCTCATTTAACACACTTCTATCTAACATAGGTGTTTATCTGGTCATTAGCTAAGCTGAATTGTCTAACTGACATCGTGCCAAGTTTGAGGGGCTATCTGGGAATTTTGCCTTAAAGTAAAAGAGTCGAACAAAGTGAGCTGGAAGAAAAAGTAACGTAGCAGCACATAGAGATGTCATTGCAAACCACACCTAACCAATGGCCGACATAATGATACCATTGTACTAACCATACAAATTGAAGGGGGAAAGAAATAAACCTCTTTGGAAAATAGCGAAGCCTCATCCCCTTAAGGTTTGCATTTGGTATAGTCAATACACCCTCCTTCCCATTTAAATTGTCTCATTTTAGATGAGCACAGGTAAAGGAAAATAATCAAATTATATTATGAGTGAAATCACTGGATCTAAAAGATTAGACTAAACATGACATCTTGGGCTTTTCACTCTGTTCCAGTTATATGAATTAATAAATAATCATTTTAAATGAAAATTTTCAATAGAAAAGCGAATAAAAGCCTAGGACGGTCTAGGAAGGAAAAGAAGATTTTAGTTAGTGGGAATGAATAATGGGTTGGAGATGAGTAATTGTGTTTGACTCTCCGCTTGAGGACATCTTGAAAGCTCAAAGAAATTTTCAAGCTTATATTTTAAGCTTGTTGATTCCTTCTTTCCTTGTACTGATGATTTGATGAGAGCATGGTCATATCTTCTGAGCTTCTCCCCCAGTTCTTTCTTTTAAAAATAGACGTACAACAACAATGCCATACCAGTGTAGTCCCACAAGTGGGGTCTGGGAGGGTAGTGTGTACGTGGACCTTAACCCTACCTTTAAGAAAGCAGAGAGGTTGTTTCCAATAGACCTTCGGCTTCTAAAAAAATAGACGTAAAGTAAGCAAGAAAGTAGGTTAAGTTAATGCATTCCAGTATTTATCTCATTCATGTAACTCTACGCAATTTCATGACTGACAACAACATTATATCAACACATCTATTGACTAGTAAAGGCCTAGGATATAAACATTCGTGAAAGAGAATTCTGAAAAATCCTATTACTTCACGTTGCACATCTAATATACGTTAAAACAGAAACACAATTCATTTGGCACCTGTATCCTCCACAGACTTCTTGTACTCTGGCTTCAGCTAATATGTTCTCTTGGTTTATTCCTCTTTTGTTGTACACGCAGAGCTCTTTCAGTATATCTTTCAAAGAATGCTGCAAAACAAACAAAATAACCAGGTATACATCATTTGGGATGGGATAGTTGAAAAATACAACTGCATAACTAAAGGACATGCAACATCTTCCAATAGTATTAAAAGAAAAGATTATTAGAACGATATCTTTACTCAATTCAGCTGAAACCTGGACTCTAGACTAATATTGCTAATAGATTGTAAAACATAACATCTCTAAATCTAATGTCCACATAACCACTCGATGATTTTAGGAGGAATTCAGTAGACTAGTAAACACAGGCGAATCTTGGATTCGAAGGTAGCGGGTGCCATAATTTTTTTTTTAATGTATATCTTGTAATGACTAATACAGAGTTTGTTCGAAACGTTTATTCGACTTTTTTAGCTTATTCGGGTCAACTTAATAGGTATTTTTTATTTGCAAATATCAAAATTACATCTCAGATATCAATAAACAAACGTAATTAGCATTTCAATAAGAGAACTACACCAAAAAAAAAAATATATCTTCGATAAATACATTATACCCATAAGTAGAGAATTAAATAAAATACAAGTTTCCAAAAATAAAAATCATAAAATCTCATATCTCTTTTAAGCAACGCTTACAAAATTTTCATCATAATTTAATAGTAAAGAGACTTAATTATATATAATAATCATAGAATAACACAAGTTTTTATGATACAATGAAAATTGAATTTGATCTCAATCCAAAATTCCCATCGACACCCAAGTTTTCTGGATTTGAATGAAGAAAACTAAGAGATTTGAGATAAGAGGAATACTTATTTTATGGAATTTCAAAAATTTGAAGTCTCTTTTTTGAGTGTTCTTGCTAGAGACCACATATAAAATAATAGAATAAAGGAAAGAAAAATATAAAAAATAATAAAACGACAAGTAGAAAATTGAGAGGTAGCCGAAAAGGAAATAACTAGGACAAAAAGAAACAAAATGCACAACGAAAAGGAAAAGTCGGACAAGGTTCAATATAAATTTCAACTTAAATTTTACACACGAGAAAAGCTTTTAAAAGGGTCTACCAGCCATGACACCTTTGTCTAGTTTACGATTGTTGGTGGTAAGATCAAATATTTAACCTAGTTTAAGAAAATTTCAACATAGGTATATGATAATTTTATCATCTTACCGGGTACCATACCACCCCATCCTAAAAGGGTGGACCCGCCCCTGCTAGTAAATCACACTTACTCTGTTTCTGGCACCAAAACAAACAGAACTATGTACCTGATAATGGAGTAGACGTTGTGACTGCACGACATACTGCAGGTTGATCAGTTTTCTTGCACTAACTGATTCAAAACCCAAATCTCACCACGGCCCCTCCTAGTTCTTTTAGCTTCTGGCCCCTTAGTAGGAGCTGGTTTCTTCTCCTGCACGGAAATGATGGATTTACAGAGGCTACCCATTATTCTATTAGTTTTCATCCAACGACTAGAGAAGACCATGGAGAACAGTTACCACTGTTTTGAGAACATATTCGGTGCAGCAAAAATAAAAGGAATGTGTTTTCTCTAATAATAAAAAGGTATGCTACTACCGGGTGGATGAACCCTCATAGGCATCACGCCCATAGATATAGACTTGTTTGTCAATTACTGGTAGGAGACGTGTATACTTAACGTGTTAATGATGTTGCCAGGAGGCCAAAAGCATAATTTTCAGGCCCTTACACCCACCACATGGTCTTGCATATTTTGAAGGGAATCATGGAAAGGTTTCTAAGCTTTCAAGCTGGTTAAGCACACGGTCACAAACATGGTAAAATGGCATCAAGTGGAATCAGATACATTACATAACCAGAAAGAGGACTAGAATACAGCTTCTAGATTTAAGTACTTAAGCTTTCAAGCAATGCCAATAAAGACAAATGTGAGCTGACTCTAGAACTGAAAAATTAGCATTGTACACTAGTTAGTAAAGCTATGAGAGTACAAAATCATACGGTTAAACATGCTAAGAACCTTTGAAATGACACATACAGAGGACCAACTACACAAAAGTATAAAACTACCAAACTAAGCTATTCTATGCAATTTTCAGATTGCAATTTGATTCACGTTGCCTGAACAATACTAGGAAGCCTAACATACAGGCTTCAGAAGAACCATAATCTATGTAAACCTCTAATTTGTTATGTCTTAAAATATTAAAGACTACAAAATTGGTCTTAAAGTTAGAAAGTAAAAATGCAGTAAAGCTAGGGATATTCCAGATCCTTCCAAGTTCTTCACCTGACGGCTATCTCTTACACATTAGAAAGAATATCCCACTCTGACAAAATGGTTTATGAAAAAATAGAAAGAAAAAAAAACAACGGGCATAGAATTCTACTTCGAGAAACAATGACATAGCAAATAACTTAGTATTGGATGCAACACCCGATTATTTTTGTTTGGTCAGTTGAAATAGCTTACACTAATCAAGCATCCAGAAGATGCTATCAAGTCCGGATGCAATACCTTATCATGCCAGGCATGGGTCTCATATGCACTCCGAGATTATTAGTGTAATAGCAAACACAATTTGGAAAAGTTTAGAAGAAGAAAAATTATGATTACATGCATTTGTCTGTTGTAGATCATTGACTTATTTGTCCTTTCATTTTCCTATACTCCTTCATGTTCTGAGTGTGACGCTTCATATCAAAATTATGTTTGACTTTCACGTCCATGAAAACTCTCCCATCATCAAGAAAAAAATTTGGAGGGAGAGGGAGGGAGAACAACAGAAAGAAAAGGAAACACAAGTCTCCTGGTTTGCTTTTTCACTTGGAAAAAACCCAAAGATAAAACTTCCAAGTCCGATTACCATGAAAATAATACTGCAAGGAAAGAAAAAGAAAAACCTCAGGTGAATATAAGATCCTCGAGTTAAACATGATTAACACGAGGAAGCTCTGTGTACACACTACCCTCCCCAGACCCCACACGTGGGATTATACTAGGTTGTTGTTGTTGTTGTTGTGTTAAACATGATTAAAAATCTTACTGTACGTGCTTGGAAAAGAGAAAATGCTACATTTTGGTTAGATTGCATAAAGAAATGCATTTATCAATTAAACCATAATGACTGAAAGATATCAAAATTGCTGTCTCTTCAGATTGATTGAAGGAAAGAAAACTACAGAGGCAAAATGAAAGAAGAAAAGAATCTTCACAGAAGAAAAATTGAAAAACCAACAAAAAGAAATGGAGGAAACCCCAATGAAAGGTTTAATGCTGTAGTCTCTTCTTTATATGCCCTAGCTGATTTAGAGGGGAGAGGGAAAGGGAATAATATCTGCAGAGACGAGGTAAAAGACTCAACCGTAACTAGACCCCAACTGGGCCTAAATCGTCTCTCTTTCCCCGGTGATCTTTCATCCATTGCTAACATGCTCACTTGGACGCCTTCTACTGGTGTAAAAGTTCTTCCAATATACCTCTTTATTCACTATTTAATGGTTTTTGTGGCTGTGAGAAAAATTCTTTGGCATTATTTGCCACTTCTGCCTCTAGTATAGCTTCTAAGACAATGTCAGACCCCTTTGCTTCATCTTTACGTTTTGGCAACAATCCGGCACTCTCAGCAGAGACAGGGAGTACAATAATACTGCCAGATTCATCAGTCAGTTCACTCAGACCTTCCCTATCCACGGACAGAGATTTCAAAGGAGTCATTTCTGCCAATCTCGCATAAGCAGCTGCTTGGCTGTGCATATCAGTCAAAGCTGAACTCCCTGAATTATGATCCTTAGGTGTGACAGTTACTGTTTTGCTCTCTTTATCAGATTTTTTAGGTCCATTTTCAACTATTGTGCTCTCTTCATCAGATTTCCGAGGTCCATTTGCTATCGTGCCAGCCCCAGCTGTAGCGCTGATGTTGTCTACTAGCCTCGATGTCAATGGACCAGGATTCATAAAAGAGACTGTTCGAATTTCATGACGTATGGCTTCTAGTTGAGCAATGGTATCTTGCAGTTCCTTATGCACCTGGCGAGCTTGAGACTGCTGCATGACACTTTCAAACTGACCACGGGCCAATTGAACATAACCAATGGCACGCCCAGCAAATCTGCCAGCTGTTCTTGCTATGATTGGCAGATCCTTAGGTCCAATAAGAGCAGCAGTAGCGCCAAGCAAGAGAAATATCTCTCCATATGAAAATCCAAGCATCTCTGTTTTTCGTTCACTTTGTTTCTCCCGTATGTTTGAAGACCACGCAAAAGGAGAGTGTTATCAAGGACCCTTATTGGAAAATTTGCTTGGAGAATTCGTCTATGAGTCGCACTGGTGAATCGTTAGCCATGCCAGACACATGCTGTTCTCTCTTCTGCCATCATTCTCTGCAAAATTCCTACCTAGTTATGACGGGGAAGGCTACACACAAAGCAAACAAAATCCAGTTCTTATCAAGAAGCAAAACAAACAACGCAGTAATGGATCATTTTCAATATACATTGAACCACATACAATGACTAAAGTGTAGGAACACAAACAACAAGATAACTAAGTTAGGTCCCAAATCAATTACTTAAGACAAATCTGAACACTTCTTACAGGGTGGAAAGAATTTTACTCTTAGAAATGATATGCTAGTTCAATGACCAACAACAAACAAAACTAGTAAAAGTGTTAGGAAAAATTCTACACTTTGAGCATTTGTTATGCAAATGACTCAACTCTGAAGAAACCGCTTAACAGTGACTGATCATTGGGCAACTTATCTCTCTTGAATTCTTTCAAGGATGCTACATCATAGAATTCAATACTCAAACCTATACCAATATCAAATACCAAAACCAGCTGCGAGCAAATTGATGACTGAAATTCCAGAGGCATATAATAGTCCAGAATGGAAGAATAGCGTACTAGAAGCAGAAGGATATCATTTTGAACCAAAGGGACAGAGACTATTCATTCTGTTCATTGTTTCGCGTACATAAACTTATCAAAATTTGAAAAAGGAATAACTAGAACTTGTCCAAAATCTCTTCCGTCTTAACCGAACTGAGCAAGCTAAGAACAATCAGAAACGTAGGATCATGTTCCACAAGAAATCAGCAACATAACATACCGTTTGTTATGCTTCTTTACGAGTTACAATATTACACACTCAGTAATTTCAATTCCTTTGGATTATATGCTTGTGTTTATAGTTCTTCTTCTTCTTTTTTTTACACTAAATATAAATTTTAATTTATTTTATTCATATACGCATTTTTAGCTAAAACCTACTCTTAAATCATGCTTTTCCCTTAAAGTCCCAGCAGACTGCACTTTTGAAAATAATCGCCTTTTGAAAAATTTTGATACACACAGACACAAAAATAGAAATTTTACTGCAACAATTTGCTAGTGATAGGATCAACCTAATTCATAACCGAAAATCATTCAAAAGAGAATTAGGAAAAACAGAAAAAACTCAAATTCAGATCAAAGAAAGAAAAAAATTGATTTTCACATTTTCAGATAATATGTTTTACAGTTTAAGTTAGCTTCTAACGTACACAGCAGCAAAATACTCAGAGGAAAGATCAAAGGTAATTACTTGAAGATAGCTATCGCTTCGACTTCCGCTCTTCAACTGCAGCACCAAAAGTGTGGAGACTGAAACAGACCCTATATGGATCTGGATCCGTATCTGGATCCGGATCCGGATCCAGGTCGAATTTGAGAATCTGGAGTACACGTGCGAGTTGAGACATTAAGCTGACGTAGTGTTGACTTTATGATGTGGTCGCCAAATTATGCTTCAAGTTAGGGGTGGGCATATCGGGGAAAACCGATAACCCGAACCATTAATTCTTTATTGGGTTATCGGTATTGAGTTATTGGGTTAACGATTCGGTAACGGGTTAAATTTTTTTTATTGGGTTATCGATTCGGGCTCGGTTTGCATTTTTGTTATTGGGTAAAAACCGATAACCCAATAAGAATGATGTAATTTACTAATTTACCCTTAAATATATACTAGAGTTATTTGTTTTCCTAATTCCCTCTTCACTCTTCAGTCTTCAGTCATTTGTCTCTCAGTTCTCATTCTTGTTTCTATCGCAGCCCCCAAGAGTCAAGACGCAAGACTCACCACCAGTTCTCCGCCAGACATCAGTAGATACTGCACAGAAGTGTGAGCGTGCTTTTGTTAAGAAACAACAAAAGTTGGTAGTTTACACGTTATGGCAGTTTGATTTCTTTGTTTTATATATTGTAAAAAATTTTAGTTGTTTTATCTTATCGGGTAAACCGATAACCGAACCGATAACGATATATAACCGATTAACCGATAACCGATAACCAATATATTATCGGTTTGGTTATCGGGTTATGATATTTGTAAACCGATAATGTTCAAAACCGAACCGAACCGACCAATATCCACCCCTACTTCAAGTTATTTTCGTGTTCTAAATTGGGCCGGTTAGGGTCCCGGATCAGGAACATGATTGGCCCACAGGCTTTAGCCAGAATTGGTCCACGCTCCGAAGTATAATGATAATAAATCAGCTTGCTTAAAACACATCTTAACTACACGTAGAAATTCAAAAATAGTCAGATTTACAAGTGATCATTCAAAAATAATCACAGTTTCAAAAGTAATCAAAATTTAGTCATTTTTCATGTAAAGATAAATCTGAACAAAACACTGTTCAAAATCCGTAAAATACTTCAGTATATTATAATGGAGTTCCAGCATAAGTATACTCGAACTCCAACATATTATAATGGAGTTCCAGCACAAGTATACTGGAACTCTAGCATAATATACTGGAGTTCCAGTATAATATACTAGAAGTTCATACACAGGTGCTTCAATCTCCATGCGGGAACTTTTCGCGTGTTGGAGTTCCAACATAATATGCTGGAAGTTCATACACAAGTACACCGATCTCTAGTATATTATGCTGGACCGGTCTCTGTTACAGCAAAATAATGGCTATTTTTCAATGAATTACAAACGCTAGCTATTTTTGAATGACCAATCCGAAAACTGGCTAGCCCGTGCCATTTTAACTAACTACGCATATCAATGAAAAATGGGTAATTCTAACAAGATAATTATGTAACTTGCTCAACGACATAGCCTCTTAACTTTTTGTGCAATATTTTCTTTTATTTTTCATGCATATAGTATGATTCGAGTTTTTTTCCCCAGAAAATTATATGGAGTAATTGAGACGGATATAATTGTCACTAACAAATCTAGAAAGCAAACGTGCAAGTAACTAAGTATATGAAAGAAATACATGCATTTTAGGTGTGTATTACTACTATTGAAAAGGGAAAACATAAACATATGGCGAGAATTTATTTATTTATTGTTGGTAATTTATCTAAGGAGGTTGATTACTTAATACTTACAACTCTTCCTTATGTTTCTCTGCGAGAAAAATAACTAATGCATATTGGAAGTTTGGTTTTTTAGATACTATTATTTAATCCTCTTTTTTTTCTTTGCTCAAATTTAATTCAACCAAATGATTTAACGATCTTATTAGTATCTCCATTATCTATACGTGTAATCCAGCACTCACCTTTCAAAAAAATGGAAAACTATAACATGAAAGACTTTCCTCCAAGAAAGGGGAACAAAGAATTTGGCTTTTAAGAAACAATTTACGTTGTCTTACACCTCTCAGTTTTCATTTCAATTTCATTTTGTGGGATTGGCTGTTGGGTAACACACAAGTGGCTGATGAGTAATGAAATGGACATTGATATTTAGCTGCCTAACAGTCCTTTTCCGCTCTTAAGGGCTAGTTTGGTTGGCAAGCAAGTAGTTTCATGATTAATTATTTCGAGATTAATTATTCTGTGATTAGTTATCTCATCCTCCTAGAGGAATATAAAAGATACTATAACATCGGGATAAATAATCACGAGATTAGTTATACCCAGGGGCAAGGTATGTGGCCCTAAGGGTGGTCAACTGACCACCCTTCGTAGAAAAATTACATTGTATATATAGGTAAAATATTAAATTTTACTAGTATAAAACATATATTAAACACCTTTTATCGAGGATTTTGAATACCCTAAATGAAATTCCTGGCTTCGCCACTAATTATACCATAATTTTATCCCAATAAAACATAAAATAAACTCTTCTCAAATTTAATCCCGAAATTAATTATCTCGTATCACTAGTATCAAACGAGCCGTAAGTTGTGAATTTGTGAATTCGCTCTTTTATTTCTTTGGCCCACTATCCTGGAATAAAAAATGGTATGTCTACGTCATTCGTGAAGTGTCTTTTTGATTTGAGGAGGAAGTTCCAATTGGTAAGCGACTGTTCCAATCCTCTTCAAAACTGGAAAAGGACCAAAATATTTGGGACTGAGCTTATGATAAGCCTGTCCTCTCATTGAGACCTGCCTATAAGGCTGCAATTTGACATATACTAAATGTCACACCTCCTTTTTTACTTATACCCCGAGAGGGTGTGTATAAGAGAATTTTTCCAATTAAAGGACAATCGAAATGGAATTTATTTATTTAACGATTTAGAATCGCCACTTGGGATGATTTGTGGTGTCCCAAGTCATCGGTTCAAATCCCGAATTGAGGAAAAGGTTGATTCTGTATTATAGTCCACGAACCAGAAATTCGAGTAAGGAATTCTGTTAACCCGGGAGAAGGTGTTAGGCATTCCCGAGTTCCGTGGTTCTAGCACGGTCGCTCAACTGTTATATCCGGCTTAATTATCTGATTTTAGAAACACGTTTTAACATATGATGCCATTTTAAACTTTTGACCGCTTTTAGTTAATTTAAAGAATATTTCAACGTTATTTAAAACACGTCTTTGGACCACGCCACATGAAATGCACCCGCAGTTCGAGACACATTTATTTAACGTTGTTAAGATTTGGATTTGGGTCACATGAAATGCACACCCGAGTTTAGGAAGATAATTTGTTAAACTAACGTGCCTAAAGCAATTACGAACTTGCAACTTTGCGAGGGCCATGGAAATTTGCTAAATGGCGCGCCTCGAATTCTAAGGATCAAAACAAAGTTAATTAAAACAAGGGCCATGCAATTGTCATTTTTGTTAGGCATGGCGCACCTCCATCTATTCTATTGGAAGTATTTCTAACTTAGTTTTTCTAGGGGCATAACTATATTTTACTTAATACGACGCGCCTCAACTAACTTAAAAATTGGCTATTGATTAAGAGCGTAAGGAAGTTTCAAATCGTCCTACGACGAAAAATTGAATCTGAAACGATGCGTAATGGATTTCTTTACAACCCATATCCATACGTATTAGTTCATGCCATATATTAGTCAACATAAATTCAAGAAGGAATTACCTTTGAGATGTAAGAAGTTAATTCTATTTGTCTTAAGTGATACAAGGTTGTATAATGGTGATTAACAAGTATTAGAAATTAAACGAATCGAGGATGTTGTAACTCGTATTTTCAGGTAAACCTAGAGGTTCTTAATACACTCAAGGTCATGTATTAAGGTGTTTGAATCATATAATATCTGTATCATAAGTCTTGAAGTCAAACGAGTCATGAAACAAAAGTCGACAAAAGTTGTCGCAACTTAGGTTCATAATTTTACTTAAACATTAGGTCAAATGTTTCTAAGCTTTTCTCCTAATTTACAAGGAATTACGGGGTGATATACCCACCAAATTAAAGATCAATGAGTCTAGTTTCTAACTCATTAAACCGTTCATCGATACGATCTCGGAGTAGAGAGATATTCGCGTTTTTGCGAGACTGCATCAAGCACCTCTCTATGGGGCCCACTAAGGTGGTTTAAGATATTTGGACCTATATAGGATGCCTCCAACCCATTTTAAGTCATTTCTTCTCACTATTTTCAGACCTTAGAACCCTAGGAACACCCTCTCAAGGTTCTCTCAAGATTCAAGACCCAAAAAAAGGGCAAACAACACAAATCAAGTGTCGGGAATTCCGTGGCGCTAGTAAGTCTCTTGTTCTTCTTGTTGTTGCTCATTTTTGTGTTGTTCCAGCTCGTGTGGGAGGTTGTTTTAAAGGGTTTATGTTCCGTAAATACTCCCTCGTGTTCTTAATATCAATACTAGGTGATTT